GACAAAAATATTAAAAACATATTTGTGACACAATGTATGACATATTGTATACCTGAGCCAATCTCTTCTCAAACTCCAAAACGTTTTTCATTTGATCTCTGGTTGAGTTCTCTTCTCCGCCGAGAAGTACTCCAACTCTTATCATAAAATTCAAGTAAGCCTTTAAGACCTGAAATCAATGTATGAATAAACAAATATAGGAATTGAAATGTGATGTCAAATGAATTACTTCATCGTTTGTTGTCTTATTAATATAGTAGTCTCTTGAGGGCAATCCGAGTCCGCTTTGATCTATTTGTATGATATTTTGAGTGGAATTCTTCTCATCGGCGCCGACAGCCCATGAAAAAAGTCCGCCCCTATTATATTCGTTATGCAATATCTCCAGTGATTTCTGGAAATCCCAGTCTTTTGCGTTAAAATCTCCGCTAATATTCCATCCATTAATCTGTTAGAAGTGTGATATTATTAATTTTTAATAATCATATGTTAATTATGTATATGTAAGCACTATATACTTGTTTAAGGAAATCTTGCATTGGTTTTGGTCCTAATTTTTCCATCGTTTCGTTTTTATCGACACACGAGTGATAGTATATCCGAGCCTTTGTTTCGGCATTATTTGTTTGTGAGTTAGATTTGGTATCTTCTGTATTCATATGACAACAATTATACATTTGTTAATTATTAATAATACATTTTTAATTAGTGCATTATATTTATATTGAAATAATTATGAGTGTTATCATAAGTGAATTAATGCAAACCTAAGACATTTTTCATGACCAATTGGTTTTCTTGCCATAATTTACCAAATGTTCCCCAAATAGACTTTCCATCGGGTAATGGGTTGTCCCGAACCCAACCCCCGCACGCGTATTGATAAAAGTCATCGCACGGATCAGCTTTCAAATCAATGGCATTAATGATAGCGCTGGCGACTGTTATACACGACGGGGTTAAACAGTACTGGGCTACACATATTGAAATATGTTAAAACAATAATTAAATCAATATGCCGTATAGTAGAATATATTTTAATGAATGCATACATTTATTTTGAGTGCTGACGTGCACCTGAAAGGTTGTATTGGACTGAGCGGTCAATACAGATATTAATATAATGATAACACAACTGAGAAATGCGATAACAATTAATAATAATTTTTCAAAAGGCGAGGAACGGTCCCAAAAGCCTCTTTTGGCGAGTCTTTTATGGGTGGCGTTGACTGGACTCAAAAATGAAACGCCCGGAGAGTTGGAAAATTTTTGTGGGATTTGTTCCTGAGTTTCTGTGGCTAATTGTTGTCCACTGGCCGACAGGTTTGGATTACCAATACCTGTGATAGTGATGTCTGTGGGAAAGTTGCTCACATCGGAGGCCTCCTCGTCGTAGAAATCAGTTTTCTTATAGCGCGGCATAATCTGCAACATTCAGCAAATGCTCATTAATAAGTCATTATTCTCATTACTTCTAGTTTTTAATAATAATTACTTTTATTAAATTTAATTTAGACTATTTTTTTCATACATCAATATTCATACATAATATTATTATCTAAACTCTACATCTATATTATATATGATGCTAAATCAACGTGTAATTCAATCTCTATTTGTTATCTGTAAAATCAAATATTGTTTATCACTTGTCATTTAATCTTAAACCCAATGTTTGTTATATTCAGTTTATTTATTATATTTATATAAATGAAATATAATATTTTAATATATTTTTATTTGTTGTTAATATAACTTTTGCAATTATTTGTGGTTATTATTAATAATAATTTATTATAAATGTTTAATTGTAAAATATTATTTTATTTTATTTTTACACGAATAACTTAATTAACTCTCACATAGAAACAAATGTTTTTAAGTGAGAATTAGACTATTTCTTAAGTGAAGTAATTTGAAATTGTAGACTACTGTATGATGGCTTAGGATTAATCTAATAGTTTTATACTGTACTTAATGTATCTGCAAATACAATATTAATGATAATAAAATGTCCATGGTACTTATTATTAAGGGGATATATTTGAAACAGATATATAAGGGTAATATAACTAAAATAATGGACAACTCACTGGTTTCAGTTGAATTCCATTCATTTCTTTACTCAACTGACGTTTTGAAATACATCTAAAAATTATGTTATAATTTAAAAATAATTAATATCTTCTAAATTTGTGTTATATTTTAAATTTTAATTTAAGACAATACTCTAACCTACATATAAGACATTACATTTCTGTACTTAACATTTAATATATACACACAAAAGGAAAATATATCTAAAATTAAAATTTGTTTAATGTTTGTCTTAAATGTTACATAAATATATCAATACTAAACATATACTATATGTTTGTTCATTAAATTTATTTTAATATAAGCGATGTTTTGAGTTAAGATCTGCATAAATATGGAAATAGACTAAACACTGCTTATATTGTACTGGATATTTAAAATTTGCAAAATAAATGTTCACTTTTTAAAAATTATTATTTTAGGGGATTTTACAATTTGTTGTTAAAGAATCGATGCATTGATAAACATGTTAACAATTGGACACTAAGACAAGTGGACAGACATTATGTTAGAAATAAATTAATGTAATATTGAACACAAGAATTTAAATATACAGTAAATATATAAATAATTATTTTAAAATAAATTTATATAAAATGATTAATGTAAAATAAATAAGATAATGGTTCCGGTAATGGCACTTACCTGCGTTACAAACCAGTCCTACATCACAGTCTTGTCAATTAAATGGCAATTATATTAATTGG